AAAAACTAACTCAAGATAGATCAAAGACCTAAATATAAAATTGAAAATGGTAAAGACCATGGAAGAAAAAATAAAGATAACGCTAGGAGTCCTAATACATGGCATAAACAGAATACAAAACATTACTAACAATGCACAAACACCAGAAGAGAAACTAGATAACTGGGAGCTCCTAAAAACCAAACATTTATGCTCATCAAAAGACTTCACCAAAGAGTAAAAAGACCACCTACAGACTGGGAAAAAAATTTTGGCTACAACATATCTGATCAGGGTCTAATCTCTAAAATCTACAAGATACTGCAAAACCTTAACAACAAAAAGACAAATAACCCAATTAAAAAATGGGCAAAGGATATGAACAGGCACTTCACCAAAGAAGACATTCAGGTGGCTAACAGACACATGAGGAAATGCTCATGATCATCAACCATTAGAGAAATGCAAATCGAAACTACAATGAGATTCCATCTCACACCAACAAGGCTAACATTAATCCAAAAAACACAAAATAATAAATGTTGGAGAGTTGTGGAGAGACTGGTGGGTATGTAAAATGGTACAACCACTTTGGAAATCGATTTGGCGCTTCCTTAAAAAGCTAGAAATAGAAGTACCATACGATCCAGCAATCCCAGTCCTTGAACTATATCCTAGAGAAATAAGAGCTGTCACACAAATAGATATATGCACACCCATGTTCATTGCAGCACTGTTCACAATAGCGAAAAGACAGAAACAACCTAGATGTCCATCAACGGACGAATGGATAAACAAATTATGATATATTCACACAATGGAATACTATGCAATGATAAAGAACAATAATGAATCCGTGAAACATCTCATAACATAGATGAATCTAGAAGGCATTATGCTGAGTGAAATTAGTCACAGAAGGACAAATATTGCATGAGACCACTATTATAAGAACTCAAGAAAAGGTTTAAACACAGAAGAAAACATTCTTTGATGGTTACAAGGGCAGGGAGGGAGGGAGAGGGGTATTCACTAACTAGATAGTAGACAAGAATTATCTTAGGTGAAGGGAAGGACAACACACTACAGGGGAAGTCAGCACAACTGGACTAAACGAAAACTAAGAAGTTTCCTGAATACAACCAAACACTTCGAGGGACAGAGTAGCAGGGGTACGGGTCTGGGGACCATGGTTTCAGGGGACATCTAGGTCAATTGGCATAACAAAGTTTATTAAGAAAATGTTGTGCATGCCACTTTGGTGAGTGGCATCTTGGGTCTTAAAAGCTAGCGAGCAGCCATCTAAGATGCATCGATTGGTCCCAACCCACCTGGAGCAAAGGAGAACGAAGAACAACAAAGACACAAGGAAAATATTAGCCCAAGAGACAGAAAGGGCCACATAAACCAGAAACTCCATCAGCCTGAGACCAGAAGAACTAGATGATGCCTGGCTACCGTCAATGACTGCCCCGACAAGGAACACAACAGGGAGTCCCTGAAAGAGCAAGAGAAAAGTGGGATGCAGAACTCAAATTCTAGTAAAAAGACCAGAATCAATAGTCTGACTGAGACTGGAGGAACCCCAGAAGACATGGCCTCTGGACACTTCATTAGCCCAGAACTGAAACCACTCCCAAAGCCAACTCTTCAAACATTAGACTGGACTATGGGACATAAAAAGATACTCGTGAAGATTGTGCTTCTTAGTTCAGGTAGATACATGAGACTAAATGGGCAGCTCCTGTCCGGAGGTGAGATGAGAAGGCAGAAAGGGACAGGAGCTGGTTGAATGGACATGGGATATCCAGGGTGGAAAAGAGGAATGTGCTGTCACATTATAGAGAGAGCAACTAGGGTCACATAACAATGTGTGTATAAATTTTTGTATGAAAAACTAACTTGAGCTGTAAACTTTCACTTAAAGCACAATAAAAATTTAATTAATTAATTAAGGTATTTTTTTTTTTTAAAAGTGTTAGCCCAATCCTTCCTGAAACCTCCTGTGTGCCCAGACCTGGGCTGGGTCCAAGACAGAGAGGATTCAGTCCCAGAAAACTCTTGGTTTTCCACTTCTGTGGCCCCATGAGAGGGTCTCCATGAAACCCATATGGGGAAAATAGACCCCCAAACTCCACATCCCTCTTGAGAGAAGTAGGTGAGAAGCAGTATCTGAGAGTAGAGGAGAAAGGAAGAGCCTACCCTGCTGTGGTCTGGGGTGAGAAGAGTTCATCGTTCACTTCTGTGATGGTCAGGGCAGAGGGACTATTTGTATGGATTGAACTGTGTCCCCCCAAAAGGTATACTGAAGTCCTAATCCCTGTACATATGAATGTGACCTTGTTTGGAAATAGGATTTTTCTTTTGTTATCAGTTAATGAGGTCACACCAGAGTAGGGTGCGTCCTGATTTCTTCTGAGTGGTATCTTTATAAAAGGAGAGAACAGACACAGAGACAATGTCACACAGGGGAAAATGCCATGTGAAGATACATCTACAAGCAATAAAGGAATGCCAAAGATCATCAGCAGTCCCTAGAAGCTGGGAGATAGGCATGAAAGTTTCTCTCTCAAAGCTCTTAGAAATGATAGACATGGCTGACACCCTGATTTGGACTTCTGGACTCCAGAACTATGAGACAATAAATTTATGTTGTTTAAAGTTACTGACTTTGTGGTACTTTGTTATGGCAGCCCTAGAAAACTAAGATGACCATTCCTGTTGAAGGATAAATTTGGAGCAGAAGCCATAAATTTTAATCCAGAAAGAATCCCCAGCTCTCTTAGCACTCCACAGTTGTCCCCCACTTCCAAGATGGGACAGGCTAATCAGATGGTGCCAGGGGGATCTAGACTATTCCCTTCGGCCCAGAGATGCTGCTGCTGCCTGTTGCCCCACCGTGAAGGTGACAGAGGTCTGAGGAAGAGGGGGCTTGGTGGGGTTGCAGCCAGAGTTTCTGTCTACCTCAGTGGTCCCTGGAGGATCGTGCAGCTACAGTCTGTGCATCCTTCAGTCAGTGATGGCAAAAAAGAGTCTGTGCATCCTGTACCTGCCCATTCTCCAGACCGATCCCTGGGTTTTCTAAACTGACTTTAACCCACTCTACACCTTCAGATCCTGGAGGTAGCCAAGAGACATCATAGTCTCCTGTAACCACAAACAGATCATGTCAAAACCTGGAAGAGTGGAATCTCCTGAATTGTAAACATTGGCAATACAGTTATTACGAAGGTCCCTGGGTGGTGGAAGCAGTTGGCACTTGAATAATAACCTAAAGGTTGGAGGATTAAATCCACCCAGCAGCACCACAGAAGAAAGGCCTGGCAATCTACTTCTGAGAAGATTACACCCAAGAAAACCCTATGGAGCAGTAGTTCTACTCTGTAACACATGGGATCACCATGAGTCAGAACTGACTTGATGGTAACAGGTTATTATTATTACAGAGACGTGCATTGTATAAAAATAGAAAATATATGCCAGCAACAACAAAACATATTCTCTCCACTCAAAGATCACTACTGTTAATACCTTAGTGCATATCCCTTCAGATCATTTTTCTTCAGAAACATAGACTTTTTAAAAAATGTGATCATCTAGCACATATGGTTTTGTAACCTGCTTTTTTTAAGTTAATGATCTTGTACTTTCCATCTTAGTAAACTTCCCTCTCATCTAATCCTCTGTCCATATTCACACATATTCGAATTTTTCTAATTGACTTCCAAATGTCCTTTACAGTGTTTGTCCAAACCAATAAGGAATACCATGCATTGTGTTCAGTTATTATCTTCACTAAGTGTCTTTAACACACTTTTGACTTAAAAATCAAACACACCTGGAAGAGAGGACCTGCGGCCCATTCAACCCCCTTAACAACTCAAGAACCCACAATTGTTCTCTATGAGCATCAGATTTTCCATGATGTTGGAAAGTGGGGCGTACTCCTTTTGAATGGAGATATATTTTGTGAAACATAGTTTCAAATATATGACTGTCTGAACATGATAAGTAGTGAGGGGCCCCAGGAAAAAGCCCCTGAGAGAGGAGGTATTAGTTTCCTAGGGCTGCTGTAACAAAGTTCAACAAACTGGGTGGCTTAAAACAGCAGAATTGTGTTGTCTCACAGTTCTGGATACTGGGAGTCCAAAATCAGGGCTTTGGCCATTTTGATTTCTTCTGCGGCTCCGAGGGAGAATTTGTTCCATGCCTCTCTCCTAGATTCTAGTGATGGCTGGCTATCTTTGGCATTTCTTGGCTTGTAGTATATCACTTTAAAATCTGCCTTCATCTTCACATGGTCATCTTCCCTCTGTGTCTCTCCTCTTTTTTCATATGGATACCACACATATTGGATTAGGACCCACCCTACTCCAGTATGACCTCATGTGAACTTAACTGATAACATCTTCAAATACCCTATTTCCAAACAAGTTCAGGTTCTCAGGGACCAGGTGTTAGGAGTTCAAGATATCTTTTTGTGGAAAACAATTCAGTTCATAACAAGCCACTAGTTATGAATGAATGAATGAGTTAAACGAGTGAAGCATTGCTTCCTTTACCTCATCTAAATCCTTCTCCTATGCCTCTGATATTCAGACAGGCCATCCCAAGTCCCACCCCTGGCAGGCTGACCTTCACCAGGGTCCAGAGGCTATGACTCCCCAGGGGTCTAGCCAAGTGGTACCTGCTTCTCCAGAACAGACCATTGTGCACAAGCCCAGGAGGCAGGACTTGGGGGCTCTTGTCCTTCCTTGCTGCCTTATGCAGGGCAAGCCTCTTGCCTCCTCTGAGCCTCAGGGTTCATCTGTGACATGCAGAAAAGGAATTGGATAATCTCAAACAACCAATCTCGGTTGAGTCTGAAGTTCCTCTTCTGCAGGTTTTTTTTTTTTTTTTTTAACATTTTGTTACCACCACTGTATTCCCCGCCAGGATTCTGCTGCCCTCCTACATCTGTGACTTTCCTTTCTCTTTCAGAGGGACTCCAGAAAGCAGACTGTGTCAGGTAGGAGCCAGAGATGCTGTCACTGCTGCTGCTGCTGTCCCTGCTGTGGAGAGGTGAGTGGGCTTAGGGGGTGGGGGGTTCCGCTCAGGGGAGGTTCTGGAGCTTGAAGCTGAGTTTCTCCCTCCCCCAGGGTCCCTGACTCACAATTTGAGAGTCAAGCTGGATCTACTGAAATCTGTGACAGTGTAGGAGGGCCTGTGTGTCCTTGTGCCATGCAAATTTTACTACCCCACGAGTTCCAATAGATACCTTCACATGTTTTGGTTCCGGAAAGAGGCGAATTTATACACTAATCCTCCAGTGGCCACAAACAAACCAGGACAGAAGTTGCAGAAGAGGACCCAAGGCCGATTTCTCCTCCTCGGGGATCCCCAGGCCAACAACTGCTCCCTGAGCATCAGAGATGCCAACAAGATGGACAATGGGATGTACTTCCTTCAAACTGAGAGTTTCTTTCAGAAATACTCATATGAACATAAGATGGTCTCTCTAGAGGTGACAGGTATGGTCAGGCCCAGGAATAAGGCCCTAGGGTGTGACACACCAGAAGTATAAAAAAGATGGTGCTTCTGCTCCTCATGAGGGTGGAGACAGTCATGACAAGACCCTGGGGCTCACTGACAACATGCTGAGGGGCTCTGATCTCACCTTTCTCCTCAGCCCTGACTCAGTCACCCGACATCCAGATCCTGGGACTCCTGCAGTCTGGCTACCCCAGGAACCTGACCTGCACTGTGCCCTGGACCTGTGAGCAGGGGACGCCCCCCATTTTCTCCTGGAACTCCACTGCCCTCACCTCCTTGGGCCCCAGCACCCACCTCTCCTCGCTGCTCACCCTCTCTCCAACACCCCAGGACCATGGCATCAGTCTCACTTGTCAGGTGACCTTCCCCTCAGTTGATGTGACTGTAAAGAGGACCGTCCAGCTCAATGTCTCCTGTGAGTGCTGGGTGAGGGGAAGCCTGGGTCTCTGAGGGTGTGTGGCCATGGTGGGGCTGGTCCAGGGCTTGATGACTGGGACCTGGTAGCTAAGCAAGAAGGAAGCTCCTTGCCTGTTTCCATGGCTTCTGAGGGAAAGGCCCAATGCCCACTCGTTTCTCACCATGGATGATGAGGCTGTCATATCTTCTGTCCCAGATGCTCCACAGAACATGGTCATCAATGTCTTCCAAGGAAACAGCACAGGTAGGAAGGAACCTCTCCTCTCCAGGGCTAGGGTGGAAGCAAAGTCTCTGCCAGCTCAGGACAAACCTTAGGTCTCAGAGCTCTAACTAACCAAGGACTACATGGGGTGTGAGAAACCAGCCGTTTTAGTTATCTAGCACTGCTATAACAGAAATACCACAAGTGGATGGCTTTAACAAAGAAATTTATTTTCTCCCAGTTTAGGAGGCTAGAAGTCCAAATGAAGGATGCTGGCTTTAGGGGAAGGCTTTCTTTCTCTGTTGGCTTGGAGGCAGGTCCTTTTCTCTTTGAGCTTCTGCTCTTGGATGATCTTCATGTCACTTGGCATCTCTCTTCCCCCATCTCTGCTTCTTAGCTTGCTTGTTTAATCTCTTTTATATCTCAGAAAAGATTGACTCAAGATACACCCTAATCCAGCCTCATTAACATAACAAACATAAACTAATTCTCATTAACATAACCTAATCATGCCTCATTAATATAATGAACATAGCCTATTCATAAATGGGATTATAACCACAGGCAGAGGTTAGGATTTACAACACGTATTTTTGGGGGACACAATTCAATCCATAATATCAGCTAATGAGGCCAGATGTGGGGAGAGCAGAGGGAGAAAGCCCCCACTCATGTCAACTCCTAGAAGCAGTCTTTTGCTCACCCACAACTCTCTTTTGCCAATTCCAACGGAAGCTGTCCTATCCCTCTCACATCACCCTCTTCTCTGATGTTTTTCCTGCTGATGTTTCCTTAAGTTCTTCCTTCACCAATTAACTGCATTTGTTTACTGTATCCCTGTTTGAAGCCCTCTGTCCTCCATTGATCAGACAGCTGGGGAAACTCTAGGAAAATGATCTGGGCCTCTTCTAAAGGCCTGAGGCCTGGACTTTGCCTGCCTCCCCAGGGTTAGTGTGGATACCATGGGAGCTGAAGGGCACCAGGCATGACCCTGGCAGAGAGAGAAGGGCAGGGCTGTCAGCATCCCAGAGTGCTCACTCTGTCTCTCTCTCTCCCCATATCTCTCTGCCTCCTCTCACCATATTTCTCTCTTTCTTCTCTCTCTCCACATTTCTTTCTTCATCTCTCTCTATATATTTTTGTCTTTCTCTTTATATATATATTTCTTTTTCTCCCTTTCCATATTTTTCTCTCTCTCCCAAAGTCCTTGAGGAACTGGAAAATGCCTCATCTCTTTCCATCCTGAATGGCCAGTCCCTGTGTCTGGTCTGTGTTGCTGACAGCAACCCCCCACAAAGCTGAGCTGGTTTTGGGAATCCGCAACCAAGAATGTCTCCCTCATCTCCAACACTGGATACATGGAGCTGCCTCAGGTAGGGACTGGAGAAGAAGAAGTGTTTACCTGTCAAGCTCAAAACCAGCTGGGCTCCCAGCATGTTCTTCTTAATCTCTCTGTTCACTATAAGTTTGAAGGTACCCGGGGAGGGACTCCATGGTATTAGAGAGGCTCTTAAGAGGTCCCCTGCTGAGCCCTCTCCTTCCTCCCCATAGATCCCTCACAGCTTCTCAGTCCCTCCTGCTCCTGGGAGGCAGAAGGTCTGTGAGGCAGCTGCTCTGTCTGAGCCCAGCTGGCCCCCTCCCTGTGCTAGCGAGTTAGGGACAGACTGGTGGAGGGGAACAGTGGCAACACCTCCTTCACAGTCACCTCGAGCTCCGTTGGGCCCTGGGCCAACAGCACCTGAGCCTCCGTGCAGGGCTTAGCCTTGGCCTCAGACTCTGCTGTGAGGCCCAGTATGGCCATGGAGCCCAGAACATCACTGTCCTGTAGCTGCCAGGTCAAGGGTCTTGTTCAAGGGAAGAGGAGCCTGGGCCTTAGAGAGATGGAGCTTGGAGGAGAGGCACCCAAGGCCAAGACAGGAGTCACTGGGGATAAGACCCTCAGTCCTTTGGCTGATGGGGATGTGGGGTGTGGTGTGTTGTGAAGAGGCTGTCTCAGGGTCTACAAGGCAAAGGGATGCCAAGTGACTGATTCCTGGGTGGGCATCAGACACACTAATGGAGGGGAGAGAGGAGTGGATGGTTGAGAGGATGCCGTGTGTTGAGATTGGCATTTAATCGAACCTCAAATTATCTGTAGGGATACAAAAACCCAGATCAGAATCATGGGTTCCGGGAGCTGCCGGGGGAGCTGGCGTCATGGCCCTGCTTTGTCTCTGCCTTTTCCTCATCGTCAGGTGAGAGTGAGTGGGCTCCCGGGGTGGAGGGAGACACCTGGGGTGGAGAGGGTATGCAGGTTGCAGAATCTCAGAAAACCTGAGCTGGAGGAACCTGGAGTGGTTGGGAAGGTCAGGAGCAAGGGAAGAGAGCTTTCATAAGGACTTGAATCCACATGTAATCAGTTGGACCAATGTGGGGTCTCTTCCCAACTTCTAGTCCAGCTCTTGGGTTAGGAGGATCACCTGGAGACTAGATCCTCCTCCATCTACCCCAGTCACCATTTCCATGCTCTTCAGAGGGAGTAGGGGGATGGTCTACCTACTCCAGGTCCCAAATAACAAGGCTGAAAAGCCCTGGGCTCTTCCCTCAGAGTGAAGACACAGGGGAAGAAGGCAGCTAGGACAGTGGAAGGCATAAATGATATGAACCCGATCTTGGGTTCAAGATCATGGGTGAGTGATGAGGACACCTCTCATTCAGCTTTACCCCTTTTGGACACCACTCTTAGGCCCTTCTCTATTAGCATTCAACACTTAGCATTCTCCACCCGAGAGTCCCACATGTGGAGACCTGGGAGTTGTTTTCATTTTACTCTCATTCCTTGGAGTCTATAAATTATGAATCCTGTCTATCCTTCTTTCCAGATAGAAGTCGGACTGGTCTCCTTTGCCTTATCTTACTCCTATGCTCACCGAGGTTTCATCATCTCTCTCTTGGATCCCTGAGCCCACCTCACGTTCTTGCCTCCATCTCTTCTCAACACAGGCCACTGGGAGGATCTTTCAGAAATAATTATTGTCTAGTCCCTCCATAATTTGGATGGTTTAGATGTCTCTGCTAGCTCCCTATTGTTGGAGAAGACGCCAAATGCTTTGGTATGGTATCGTGCCCTCTTCAATCTGTTTCCTCCCCTCTGTGACTTTGCGTTGTGCTCCACCTCACTGTTCTTAATTTTCCTAAACAGTTCTGGCTCTTCAGTGACATTGTCTCCTCCTCTGGATTTGCCACGAACTAGGTCACTAGTTCTACTGGCAAAAATCATGCTCATTATTCAAGATGCAAATGAAATGTTATCCTTTCCCTGTGTAAACCGTGGCCAACCTCTTCCCAGCAAGAGGCTGTTACCCTCTCCTCTGTGTGCCTACAGCACAGGGTACATCCCTGTTTTGTGAGGTTCACCATGTCATAATTGCAAACATAGGCCTGTCCCCCATCACACTGGGGTCTCCCAAGAGCAAAGGCCAGATCTCATGCAGGCCTCTTTTGGTCTCACTCAATGCACTCTGTTCCCATCACCTGTCATATGTGTTGTTATTGTAGAATGCTATCGAGTCGATTTCAACTCATAGCGACCCGACGTGACAGGGTAGAGTTTTCCCCATAGGTTTTCTAGGTGCTAATCTTTATGGGAGCAGATTGCCAGATCTTTCTCCTGCAGAGCCGCTGGGTGGGTTTGAACCTTCAGCCTTTCAGTTAGCAGCTGAGAACTGAACCATTTCGGCACCAGGGTTTCTCCGCATAGATGAAGAAACACCCATTGCTATTAAGTCGATTCTGACTCATAGCGACCCTATAAGACAAAGTAGAACTGCCACCTAGAGTTTCCAAGGAGCGGCTGGTGGATTTGAACTGTCGACCTTTTAGTTAGCAGCCGAACTCTTAACCACTGCGCCACTGGGGCCCCTGCTCATAGGTACATGTGTATATTTAATTCATCTCAGGTCAATTACATCAGTCATTAAATCAGCAGTGATGCTTCGTTCATGATATTCTGTCATGATTGATCTACTCATGGACCTCTTCTATTTTCTTTCTTTGTAATATAAACCATTAACCCATTACTCAATCCAAGAATGAGAATGCTGATAATAGCTTACATCTACCTGTGTGTTTCTGCTCCTCCCAACCCTCTAGCTATCTCCATTCTGAGTAACCTCTATCTTGAATTCTGTTTATCATTCCTTAGCTGTTACCTCTTTTCAACCCCCTCCCCCCACCCCCCAGCAATATATTGATTACATTTGCTTATTCTGGGACTTTCTAAAAAGGGCATTATGCTCAATGTAGTCTTTTGGGACTTGATTTTTCCACTCGAGGTTACGTTATTAAGATCCATCCACATTGTTATATGTAGATGTAGTTCATTAATTTTTACTGCCATATAATAAATATATCATGCTATTACAATACAGTTTATCTGGTCTCCTGTTCATGATAGTTTAGATGACTTCCAGGTGTGGCTGTTATGAACATTTTCATTTCATGTCTCAGTGTGTTTGTATGCAAGAATTTCTTGGTTGTATACCTAAGAATTGAATTGCTAGGTCACAGTAAAAAACGTCCATCTTAGCAAGGTAATGCCCAATGGTTTTCCAAAGTGGTGGACCAATGTACATTCCCAACAACTATGTCTAAGGAATTTTGTTGATTCACATCATTTCCAACACTTGATTTCCACAGACTTCTCATTTTTGCTAATAAAATTGGGATAGCACAGTTTCTCGTTGAGGTCTTCGTTTACACTTCCCTGATTACAAAATGTTTTGCATTTATTTATGTATTTTTTTTTTTTTGGAGTCAAGAATACATAAATATTTACCTCTTCTATGAAATGCCTATTCACTGCTATGCCCATTTTTTCTCTTGGTAGTTTGTCCTTTCCTTACTAATCTGTAGAAAGTAAGTATATATTTTTAATACTAGCTTATGTTAGTTATGTGTATTATGAATAATTTTTTCCAGTGTGTAGCTTGTCGTTCTGCTTTTCTCAGGATGAGCTGCTGAACCTAAGTCTTTAATTTTGGTATAGTCATATTTATTAAATCTTTTATGTTGAGTGATTTTGTTTCTTTTTTTTATTGTACTTTGGATGAAGGTTTATAGAACAAACTACCTTCTCATTAAACAGTCAGTACATATATTGTTTTATGACATTGGTGAACAACCCCATGACATGTCAGACTCTCCCTTCTCGACCTTGGGTTCCCTATTACAGCTTTCCTGTCCTCTCTTGCCTTCTAGTCCTTACCCCTGGGCTGGTGTGCCCCTGTAGTCTCATTTTGTCCTATGGGTCTGTCTAATCTTTGGCTAAAAGGTGAACCTCCGGAGTGACTTCATTACTGAGCTAAAAGGATGTCTGGGGACCATACTCTTGGAGTTTCTCCAGTCTCTGTTAGGCCAGTAATTCTGATCTTTTTATGAGTTAGAATTTTGTTCTACATCTTTATCCAGCTCTGTCTGGGACTATCTACTGTGATCCCTGTCAGAGCAGTCAGTGGTGGTAGCGAGGCATCATCTAGTTGTACTGGACTCAGTCTGGTGGAGGCCATGGTAGTTGTGGTCTATTAGTCCTTTGGACTAATCTTTCCCTTGTATCCTGTTCTCTTCATTCTCCCTTGCTCCCGAAGGGATGAGACCAGTGG